AGCTTGAAAGCATCAAGTATAAAAGACAACATGGTCAGATAGTAAGACTACCAAACTGTAAGTCAAAGTGGAGGGTGCACTCTAACAAGTTGCAAAAAACCTCAATGTTTCGTGCCTGTTTCCTCACCATCACCACCAGAATAGGACAGTAACACTGGCATGGGGTCAGTGTCAGGATTAAACACAAAACACCAGAGCATACACACACAGGTCTGCGTACAAATTTTTTTCTGCTAGGTTGACAGCACATACTCTAAGTTAGAAAAGTAACAGACCAAAATGTACCCAGTCAGACCCCACAATTTCAGTATTTTATTTATTATTCCATCATGGGCAGGCACTTACCTCCAGTGTCCTTAATTAACAAATACTATCTGACCCCCCCCCCCAACCTCTTTTGCCAAAACTCACCAACAACCTGTACTTACATGTCTTATGTCACACATTTGGGTCCAGGTAAAGACTTGGTGTGGGGGTGGATACACAGTGTAATGTTTTCTTTCCTCCGCAACAAAGCCCATTAGCTAATGTAAAGACAGATTAAGATTTAAAACCAGATTCTCATCGGAAAGCGTTAAGGATTCAACAAGGAAGTTTCCAACGTAAGCTAACTAAAGCATTATCTAGCTCTTTGCCCTGTTTTACAGCCAAATTCTTGTGAAAAACAAAAACTGTGCTTGCAGATCACCAAAGATGTGCCTCCACTTCCATGCCCCTCCCCTTTGTTTCCACTGGCCTCGCTGCCTTGACTTCCTATTAGTACTAGGCCCCTCCCTTTTTTTTGTAGAAGCTGAACCAGGTCTCTCACAGTCTGGTTTGTGGTTTTTACCGTGCAGCTGTTTCCTGGAGAGCAGACCCACTGAAGGCTTTACGAGACGCCATACCACCACTTTTTTTTTTTTTTTTTTTTAAGATTTCAGGGATCCCTGGGTGGATCAGCGGTTTGGCGCCTGCCTTTGGCCCGGGGCGTGATCCTGGAGTCCCAGGATCGGGTCCCATGTCAGGCTCCCTGCATGGAGCCCGCTTCTCCCTCTGCCTGGGTCTCCGCCTCTCTCGCTCTCTCTCTGTCTCTCGTGAGTAAACAAAATCTTCAGAAATTTCACTTATTTATTCACGAGAGACAGAGAGAGCGAGAGAGGCGGAGGCCCAGGCAGAGGGAGAAGCGGGCTCCCTGCGGGGACCCCGAGATCCCGCCGAGCCGAAGGCGTCCCCGGGCTTACCTTTATGAAGTACGGCTTCCCGAACTCGGCGCTGAGCGGCTTCTTCCAACTCTCACCAAAACCCACAGGCACATTGCGGGCCGCGAGCCTAAGCAGGGCGGCGGCCTTGTTCCTCTGGATGCGGACCAACTGCTCGGGGCTCAGCGGCGAGGAGGGCGGCGTGCCGGGGTCCTCCTGCCCGGCCCGGGCCTTCTTGGCGGGGCTGGCCTGCAAGTGGACCCCGCACAGGCGGGTCAGGAGCTGCGACGGGCCGCGCCCGCATCCCCACAGCGCCCGCCGGAGCACGCCCATGCGCGGGGCAGGCCGCCGCCCCCACTTGGGAGCTCTTTTCTAAAACGCGGCGGGGAGAGGGGCGGCGGTGAGCGAGGCCCGCCGCGAGCCCGCGAGCAGGAAGGCCCTGACCCCCGGGCGCCCCGGGCGCCCCGCCCCGCCCCCACGTGGTCTTTTCGCGGCAAAAAGAATCCCCCGGGAGTCCCGCCCCCGCCCCTCTCCGATTGGGCGGCGGGCCGAAAGGGGCGGAGCCCTCGCCTCTGACTGGCGCCGCGGGCCCCGAGGCCCGTCTCCATTGGCTGGCCCCTCAGAATGGCCGCCGACGGGGAACTGCACCGGCTGTTTTGAACACGTGCAGTCGGCTCTGAACGCGGGGACCCAGCTCACGGGGTGGGCGGCGCGTCCCTGCAGCCCCTGGGCCGAGCGGGGCCCGCCGCCCTCCCCGCGTCCCTCGCCGCCGGCGCCCGGCCCCTGCCGCGCCTCACCGCTGCATCCCCGCTCTCCTCGGCGGCCGCCGCCACGCCGGTCCCCGGGTCGGCCGGCTCAGGGCTGCGGGTACGTCGCTTCCCGGCGGGGGTCGGGGAGAAGAAGGAGTAGAGGGTCTTCTGGCCGATCATCCCGGAGCCGAAGAGCGCGGGCGCGCGCCGCCCGGGGACCCGCGGTGTGTGCCGGCGGCGGAGGTCCGAAATTGGCGCCAAACCGCCCGCGCATGCTCGGACCCGGGGCCGGGCGGGGGGCGGCGGGGGCTAGTGCGCATGTGTCGGAGGGGGACGAGGTGGGGCTTGGGAGCCTCGGGCGGTAGGCGGGGTCCTCGCGTGCGTGGGCCCCCGCGCTCACCCTTCCCCGGGGTGGGTTCGGCCCTCACCCCCTCCCTGGGGGCCTGGGGCTGTAGGGGCAGTGCGGTCAGCGTTAAGACACTCGTTTGTCTTGCTCTTAGGGGTAGGTCCAGGTCCAGCTTTCACAGTAAACTAGGGCCAGGTGGGGTCCTGCGTGCTGCCGAACCTCGAAGGTTTGGGGGAGACCTTAACCGAGGTCCCGAGGATTAAACTCTAAAACTCTGCATCCTCTACGAGGCACCGCCGTGTACTCCCCAGCCATTCTCGGCCCCGAGCTCCCCCCCTACATCCAGACCCTCCTCGGGGTCCTCGGGGTCCTCTGGGTCCTAGCTGCAAAACAAATCCCAAATGCAACAGCCGCTCTTCAAGCCCTGGCAACAACCCCTGGTTGCCCTCCCCTTTCTTAGGACAGTGATCTTTTCGAGATGTAAATTAATCGTCGTCATCCCCGGGTTAGCCAAATTTGTTTTAGAGTAAACCTCAGCTGCTTAGGCTGCTGGCAGAGCTGTTTCCCTCTAACCCAGCCCCTATTACCGTGAGGTGACTCAGTCTGGCTCTCAGCACTGGACGTACCCAGCTTGTCCCTTGTGCGGCCTGTACACTCTTGCACACGGTGTCTCCCCACCTGGTAAGCCTTGGGTCTCACATCCTTGGAAAGGCCTTCTCTTGACCCCACACGTCCTAGCAGGTGATCCTATGGCTTCTGTACTGTCTAAAATTAATGTGTATTTTCCTTGTTCATTTGCTTCCACCTCCAAAATTTAATTCTGATGTGGGCAGGGACTTCATCCTTATTACAGCACCTAGGGAGAGAAGCCCGGTGTGTCCGCGGAGAACCTCGTAACTCAGCATCATTCGCCCTTAACAGCTTGGTGAAGTACATCTCAGTTTGGGTGCAAAGTGAAAGGTAACACTGACCATGTGCCCCTGCAATCCCACTCCTGGGTATCCACCCACGTGCAACTAAAATCTGCTTTCACACCAAAGTTTATACAGGAATGGATATAGTGACTTCATTTGTTACTGCCCTAAGCAGGAAACGACTCAAAGGTCCTGGGGTGAGTGGGTAGAGGGACATCCATACCACAGAATGCTACAGAGCAATAAAAGAAACAACTGATACAGATGAGAGTAAGTCTTAAAAGCATTAAGCTGAACCAAAGGCCGGACACCAAAGGCTGTTGTATCTACTGTATGATTTCATTCATAAGAAATTCTGAAAAAGAACTATAGGGACAGGAAACTGCTTAGTGGCTCCCAGGGGCTAGTTAGCATCATTGGTCGAGGGGGAGAGTCTAAGACGCTTGAGGGGATTTTGTGGAGTGACCGTTCTGGATCTTGATTGTGGTCCCACAACTGTGTACTTTTGTCAAAATCTGTAGAACTTGTGTACTAAGGAGATTCAAAACAAAGGCCCCGAGTCCCACGGAGCTTTCATGGCACTGGGGGAGACAGAGTCAACAAAAATGGAGAGCAATAACAGAACGTGACACTTATTCGGAGCACAGAAGCCTTCCTCACCCGTCCTGTCCTCTCCTTCTAGAGCTCTCCTGGCAGAGGTCTTCTAGCTCCCATTGTGCAGGTGAAGCTTTCCAGCCCCCGAGAGGGTAAGCGACCTGCAAGAACCACACAGCCAGGGTGGTGGAGACGTTTACGAAAGCCACCGGAAGGGGGGGCGGGGGGTGCTCCCACCTGGTGTCTCACCTTCCCGTCGGGACATCCAGCGACTCCTCAGGGAAAGGCGACGCTCAACAAGAGCTCCCAGACCACCGACGGAACAAAAAGTAGCTGGGCGGAAAACCGGGCAGTGCCTGCAGCGCGCCCAGGAGGCCGACAGGTGGCGCCGGGGAGCCGCTCTCCGCGCTGCGACGCCGAGGTGCCTACATCTCCCAGCAGGCCTCCGCGCTGCGACGCCGAGGTGCCTACATCTCCCAGCAGGCCTCCGCGCTGCGTCGCCGAGGTGCCTACATCTCCCAGCAGGCCTCGAGGTCCGCCCGGAAGCTGCGCTCCAGGGTTGTCTGTTTCCCGCCGGCCCCGCCTCCCGTGTTTGCAGGGCTCGGGGCGCCGCGCCTGGCGTCTGGAGCCTCGCGGAGAGCGAGCCCACGCCCTCCACCCCAACCCCCGCCCCTCGCAGGTTGTCACGGTTAATTTCTGCCTCCGGGGGTTCGGCGTGCGTGTGGGCATGTGTAACTGTTCCTGCGTTTAGACCCTCCTAGCCGTTAGAGGATCGCTGTATACTTAGTACTACGGGGATCCTGGCGTGGGAGGGCCGTCAGCAGTGGGGGGAAGGAGACCGGGAACTGGCCTCTCTGGGTGACTTCGGGCAACACCCCCTTCCTTTCTCCAGGCGGCCCAGGGTGGGCTTCCTTGGAAAGATGAGGTGCTTGGGGCTGGAATGCAGGCATTTGGGGTTTTGCAAGCCAATGAGCTGATTGCTACGCATACATACAGAGCCAGGTGTCGGGGACCCAGGACATCCTGAGGGGCCCTTCCAACTTCAACATCCTCCACTTTCTCTCTAGGACATGGTGTTGAAAGTGGAAACTTGAAAAACACCGAGGAGTGCTGTGGGACCACTTGGCCACCACGCCAATTTTTGCATCTGGGACAGCCTGGGCGGTCTCTCTCTCTCTCTCTCTGCCCTGCTGCCAGCTCCCAGGTCTTTGCTTTGTGGAGACAGGATGGACAGATTCCTGGTGACGGGGGCTGTAGGGAGCCTTGTGGGTAAGAGGGAGGGAGAGGCGAACCCAGAAGATCCAACAGGGCGGAGAGGAGAGGAGGGCAGCAGGAAGAGGCCCAGGGCAGAAACCCTCCACAACGCAGGCCCCCTGGCCAGCCCCAACTGGCGGCACATCCGGGCTGAGGGCCTGAGCTGTGATTACACAGTCCTGTTTGGCAAAGCTGAAGCAGACAAGATTTTCCAGGAGCTGGAGCAGGGAGTGGAGTATTTTACAGGTAAGCAGAGGACTGCGGGGTGTATGTTTAGACTTATTTGATAAAACTAGTGGTCTGTTTGGAGAAATCTGAACTCAGGAGTTATCAATGACCGGCAGCTTAACTTCATTAACTGACTCCACACATGCTCTCTGGGCATCTCCGGGCCAAGCACCGTGCTGGGCACTTGGGATACAAACTGGACCAAAAGTTTGCCTGCCCACCAGGGGCTGCAGACTTGAGAGTGATTTGCCACCTAGCTACTGATGAGAATCGGCTGGGAAGGCTAAAAACCAAAAAGGATGCTGGGTTCTACCCAAGACCAGCTGTAGCTAGGGTGCATCCTGGGCATCAGTGGTTTTAGAAGGCTTCCAGGTGACTCCAAGGTACAGCTGGTCTAGTGGGAGAGACAGCAAATAAGCAGGTAATTCCCCTGCAGGGGGTAGTCTCAGCATCTCCTGGAGGACTTGCTGCTTCTGAGCCGTGGGATCACTGGACCCCTCCCCGAGTCTAGCGGTTGTTTCCGGTGATGCTCATGCTGTTGGTCTGGAAGCACGCCCTGAGAAGCCCTGCAAGGTGGCAGAGCACTTGGAGGCAGAGAAAAGCCTACAGGAGACCCCAGCCTACAGCCTTGGCTGTGTTAGCATCATCTTTTTGGGGGGCCCCACACCCTTAGTCCCCACGGTTGGCAGGATCACTAGTATGGAACCTGCCTTAAGCTCCCTTGCATTTCAGCCTATTAGTATGCTTCTACTGGAGTGAAGGCAATTAAGTCATGGCGTTTAAAAGAAAGATTGGACAAGACTGTTTCCCTAAGTATAGGACAAGAATCACTGTTCTTAGGTGAACTTTTTGGGCAAGCCACAGGGATTTTTGTCCTTGGTCAGTAAATTGAATGTTACTCGTTTCATTTCCCTTTCAATCCTGAATTCTCAGGGAGCAAGTATGTGTGGTACCCACCTGCCTGCTCTTCTGAGCTGCCGTGTTTTACCTGCACAGGTGCACTGGCCAGGGTCCAGGTATTTGGGAAGTGGCACAGTGTGCCCAGGAAGCAAGCGACCTATGGCAACGCTGGGCTGACCTACACGTTCTCAGGCCTCACTCTGTCTCCAAAGCCCTGGATCCCAGTTCTAGAGCATGTCCGGGATCGTGTTTCTGTGGTGACAGGAGAGACCTTCAACTTTGTGCTTGTCAACAGGTGACTATACCTGTTTTTACACTTTTCTTTTTTAGGCTCCTGGACTGAATTGTGTAAGTCTTCTGCTTCTTCTGAAGACAGTTTAGGATTTTTTTCAATTTATGTTCAATTAGCCAGCATCTAGTAAGTACATCCTTAGTTTCAGTGGTAGAGTTCCGTAATTCATCAGTTCCATGGAACACCCAGTGCTCATCAATCACATGCCCTCCTTAATGCTCATCACCCGGTTACCCCATCCCCCCACCTTCTACCCTCCAGCAACCCTCAGTTTGTTTCCTGTAGTTAAGATCTACCGTATTTTATTCATTTGTACAACAGATTATCCCTTAGTGCAGCAGGGATGTGGCAGTGGGGCAGCACCAGTGGTCAGTCTTTATGGAGCCCACTCCACAGTGGGAAGTGAGAGGTGATGAATGGTTGAACAAGATCCTTTCAGATGCTGATAAGTATCTTAAAATTAAACAGGCTGCTTTTGCTAAGAATGACTAGGAGGAAGGAGTCTGGGTTTAGGGAAGGGATTCTTACCAGCAACACTCTGATGTTTGGGGCCAGATAATTCTGTTGTTGGGGCTGCCCTGGGCATTGTAGGATGTGAGCAGCATCCCTGGCTTCCACACACTGGATTCCAGGGATATCTCCTCCTCAGTCACAGCCACCAAAATGTATCCAAACGCTGCCGCATGTCCCTTGGGGGACAGAATCACCCTGCTTCCAAAACCTGAGTTTAGAGGAAGGTAGTTAGCGGAGGGCTCACCGAGGAGCTGATGATGGAGCTGGAGACTACATGGAGAGATGGAACAGCCATACAAATCATCTGGAGGAAGAGCAGAGGGGGCTTGGAGTGTACATGGAGCAGAAATCGCACGAATGCTGCTGGAGCAGTAAATGAGGGGAGGGCGAGAGGGGTTAGAAGCTCAGATAGGCAGGGGCAAGTAGTAAGGTTTTATTCTAGGTGTGGGAGGTTTACATTCATGAACTGGGAGAACCAGAAGATGTGTTTTTGGCTGCTCTTGGTGAGTTACATTTTAAAGCAGACGATCAAATAGAACAAGATAAAGTAGAAATGCTGTAGGCTTGGCTCATCTGTGGATCTAGATAAGGCCCTCCCGCCTGCCCTTGCAGATCCATGGCAGGGGCTTCCCATGGCACCTCTCTCGCTATAGGAGAATGCAGATGCTGCCCTGCTTGCGTGTTCCAGGAGAGGACTGTTTTGTAAACTGTGCTTGTTTTCTCGTTGCAGGTATAAAGATGGCTGTGACCACATTGGTGAGCACAGAGATGATGAACGAGAACTGGCTCCCGGGAGCCCCATAGCCTCTGTCTCCTTTGGGGCCTGTAGAGACTTCTTCTTCCGGCACAAGGATTCTCGGGGGAAAAAGCCCTCTCGGAAGGTGGAGGTGGTCAGGCTTCAGCTGGCCCACGGAAGTTTGCTTCTGATGAACCACCCGACCAACACTCACTGGTACCACAGTCTCCCTGTACGAAAGAAGATTCTAGCTCCACGGATCAATCTGACATTTCGCAAAATTCTGCCCACTAAAAAATAGGAACTTTGTCAGTGGTTCATACTTCTATTTTCTCCTTCCTTTTCTACTCCAAGTGGGAGCTGGCATCTCCTTTCTCAGCAGGGAACATAGGAAAGGCTTAATCCAAGGATGGGGCTTATTACATAACAATGCAGAATTCAGAAAGAAGATGGCAGTTATCAAATTGGTCAATTATGAAAGAATACCAGTTGATTTTTTTTCCTAACAAAAAGATTCTTTTATTACTATAATACACAGCAGATACAAAAGGTACCTTTTGCAAATACATAAATCAGCAGTTATTACAGCATAAACTACTAGTTTAACTTAGGTTTGTGCCAAGAGAAGCCGCTTTGTAAATAACTTAAAGCTAGAAATAAGATGCTACTTAATGTCTAATAATTTACAAAATGAGGAAGTCAGCTTTAAGTCTAGTTAAGAGACCTTGCATGGGTGTCATTCACATTTACAGCCTTGGCTCAGATCCTGGCCTCTGACCAACAACAAATTGCTTACAGCTAAACGTTTTGTGCCCAGCATCTCTCTTTAACGGCAGATTTCAAAGAGTAAGCGGGGGCAGAAGAGCAGTTATTAGAAGCTACCGCTTCGCAGTGCAGTGTAAGGTCACGTCATTGGGCATTTGATTCCTCCAGACTCAGGTAAAACAGGTGTACTCTTTTCAACCATAGAGCCAGGGAAGGGGCGTCAGCAGGGAGGGCTCAGGTGCTTCAAGCTGCCCCTCTCTCCCTGACGTCCGTGGCCTGGAGAACCTTCACAGGATGTTCAATCGGTAGTGAGTTTTGAGTCCTCAGGGATGCGTGCTGGGCCCAGTGGGGCAGTGATCACCTGGGCCCCTTCTGCTGTGAGCAGACACCCAGGCCTGGTCTAGAAGTGTTTGTTAGCTGGCCCCTGCCAGGGGAAGCACAGTTCTGCCTCACCTCGGGTGACCTCTTAGAAAGCTCTGATTCTAAACCTTAACTCTGAAGAGTCCATTTGAATTTGGTATCTTGTTTTTTTTTTTTTAAATAAAAAAACCTAGCTAAAACATATAATACTACTTGTCCTCAAACTTCCTTTGGCCCTGGGCTGCATTCATGAGACTTATCCAAAGAAGGAAGAGGATGCTCAATATAGTCTTTTTTTTTTTTTTTAACCAGGCTGCTGGGAGCCCATAAATTTAGAATATGGACCTGTAACAAAATGATAATATTAGATGATCAGCTGTAAGGATACATTTTTTTAAAAATCGAAAACTTCTTTTTTGTAGAAAGGGCTGAGGTTTTGATGATTGCTGAGCATCAGCCTTCACTTTACAAATGAGGAAGCCCAACTGTAGCCCTACATTCGGTGACCTTCCTTCTGAACCCAGCTCCCGAATCAAGGCAAGGACTGTCCTCTCATGCAGCCCCCAGCTACGCCTGTAAGCCTCAGGAGCACTGCATAGGCAACAGAGTTAGGAGTAACTGTCCTCGGGGGTGGGGTGGGGACTTTATGTAAAAACGGACTTTGTCCAGAGCAGAGGAAGTGCAGGTGCTGGCACAGATGGCTGTTCTGTGCCTACTATTCACAAAGTTTTATACCAGACCGTCATCACATCTCTAGTCCAGTGTGCCGAGAGTAAGAGCAACCGAGAAGCAGTGCACTTACAACTGATAGAGCAGTGGAAGAATTAACCCCCTTCCCAGGGGCAGAGGGCAGGGGGCGGTGGTGGCAGATTTGGCAGGTGCGCTTTGACTACATAGAAAGAATCCAAAGATTAGAAAAGACCCACAAAAAGATAAAGGCGAGTGTTCTTCAGGCGTCTTTGAGCTGTCCTGTCACCATGGAGAAACTTGGAAGGAGTAGAGCTTTTCAAAAGTTGTTTTGGGCACTCTTGGACAATATGTATTTTCCAGGATGGACGTGCTACAAAAGCAATCAAAAGTGAAAGGCACTTTTTCTTCTAAGTTGTTGCCTTTAATAATTTCACCAATTTGTATGGGCCTGCTTATTAAAAATAAAAGATCTATGCTGAAACCGATCAGAGGTCTTAGACAAAATTATCTCCCCTCTGAGAACACCTAACATAGCTGAATATAAAAAAGGTGGCTTCCAGAATCGGATTTCTTTTAATTACCTATATTAGGTGAGTAAAAAGACGTTCAAGACAGAATGAATGCTGTCCGAGCACAACAAAGACACCCTCCAGTGCATACTAGCAGAGCTGTTCAGGGAGCCTGGTTTGGCTTGAACTGGGACCATTGGCTCCTGCACAGAGCCTGCTCTTAGAACTCACCAGAAGGCTGAGGACTCTAGCGGGGCTGCTTGCATACCCACACAGTCTGATTTTGCCTTGTTCCCTGCCAGTTTGGACAGTGCCATTGACTCTAGCTCTGGGGCCAGGGCAGTCACTCTTCAGACCTATACTCCCGGCCCTGGTGCTGCATCTTGGAAAGAACACGCTCATAGAACAGCAGGTAAGCACTGGAGGACAGGACCTCCTGCAGGCTCGCCTTGCGGACGGTGTCATCGGAGATCCACAGCCACTGGTTGCTGGTTGAAAGAGGGTTCTTGGCCGAAGGTGGAGACCGTCGGTAAGTCACAAAGTGTCCCGAGTGCATGTCTCCATGGTGGACTACAACGGCCATCAGCCGGAAGAGGTACATGGAGGAGCTGAATGGTAGAAACAAATGCAAGTAGTTTACAAATACAAAAAAAGAAGGGTTATGGGCAGAAACAAAGTGAAAGAATCCTAGATGTTCAGTGATCAGGGGCTGATACAATGGTATATTCATATGAATGACTACTACACAACCATTACAACGCAGACTGGTATTTATTGGCATGGTAAGATGCCCGTTCCTTGCATTTATATAAGTCCATCGTGTGACGTGTGTGTACACACAGCTTTACAGGGTGGAAGGCCTTAAAGATTTAACTGCTGATGTGTACGTGGGATCCTAAGGAATTTGAAATTTCCTCCTTCATACTTTATACATGCATTCCCACATGTAATATACATAACAAGTGATTTCCATGTTGAACAAAAATAAACAGGTATGTGTAACAGTGAAGTTGCATCTCAAGATGAAAGAACAAATGTCTACACTGTCATCTGTTTTTGCAAAGCTGATTATGGAAACCAAGAAAACCAGCAGCTACGAGACATGAAGAATGTGCTTCTCCGGAACGGCTCACCTGTAGTCAGGAACCACGGGGAGCGGGAAGGGCATCGGGGCTGGCAGGGGGGGCAACAAAGATGGGGAGCAGGCGCCATTCATAAAAATTTGTGTTTTGGGGCCCCCGGGCTGACTCAGAACTGCAAGAGAAAAAGGCCCAAGGCAGTTACAAGTAGCAGCAGCTGTAGAAGAACACATCGTGGCTTCAATTACGTTGAGTTTAACTCCCCAACGATGCTACAAAGAAAAAAACAAGTGGTTCATTTAGTGTTAGGATGATTCCTACCTTTTTTTGTCCTTTATATTTGAGAGAGAGCAAACAAGCACGAGCAGGGGGAGAAGGAGAGAAACAGGCTCCCCGCTGAGCAGAGCTCAATCCCAGGACCCCCAGGGATCGTGACCTGGGCCGAAGGCAGCCGCTTCAGCAACTGAGCCGGGGCCCCTTTTTGTTCTTGACTTGACTTTTTAAATGACAAGTAGGAAAAGTGTATCTAGCTCCTGGTCTGTTGTTCACTTTGACAGCTTTGTGAATCTTGAAGACTCCTGTCCCTATTTGCTAAAGATGAGCCAGAGTTATGCTGTAGCTAATTTACTGGCATTTCAACCTAAAGCAAGGTTCTCGACCTTGACACTACTGGCACGTGGGCTGGTTAATTCTTGGCTGTGGGACCTCTCTCGGGCATTGCAGGATGTTCCACAGCGTCCCTGGCCTCTACGCACCAGATGCCAGTAATAGCCCGGTTATAACAACCAAAAACGCCACCAGCCACTGCTGGATGTTTCCCAGGGAACAAAGCTCCCTGAGAACCACCAATCTAAAATGTTCTTTATTCTTTCATCTCCAGCTACCAAAGAATACCAACATGTAACCGCGTAGATAAATGTTGATGTGTATAGATAAAATAATGGAGAATTATTGAGGACAACCTCTCTTGTCCTTTCAAATATCATATGTGGGGGCCTGTAAGTACCAAGTAGGCCACTGTTGGCTGTATGGTAGCCACAGACGGCATGCTGTGGCAATGAGCAGACCTGCAGTCCCATGCGGAAGAGGAAGGATCCAGGGTGAGGTCCTGGATTTAAAACAGCAGCCAAAGACTAAGCCCTCTTCCCACTGTGGGTCCTCTGATGTTCACCTGTTGATTCGCTGGAAAAAGGCAAAGTACAGTCTCCCTGTATATGGTGTCCTGTCAGGCCACACAACTATGGATGTGAGGAAGAATAAAAGCAGCCAGGGATCCTGGTCAGGAGCATCGGAGTGCAGGGAAGACAGGCCTCCAGCTTGACTGGGAGCAGGAGCAGGTGGGGAGTTTGGGCTTGGAGCCCTCAATGTGTTAGATAAGACAGCTTTCAAAAACTGCCCAGTGCTGCCTTCTAGTGCCCATTTTCCCAGTGGACTGATGTTTGCCCTGTGAGCAGTCACTTCACCTTCTGGGGCCTGGATTTTCCCCTCCAAAAGACTGAGGGTCATGAGAGCTTCCTGCTCCACGGGGGCTCGACTCAGCAATTAGTCTCAGGTGAGGAAAGCAGTGGGACTAGATCAATAAGGAACTCAGTAGCGAAGAAGTGATCGTTGGCCAGGCCTTTCCTCCCCACATGTGTATAAACGACATGACCCTACTGGGCAGGGGCAGGGACAAGAAATTCATTGGAATGCTGGGAGCCCATTATCATTCAGTCAAAATATCAAAAAGCAATCTTAAGCTTTTCTTCCCATATTTTTTCAACTCTGATACCGTTTTTAAAACTCCTCGTTACTATATAAGCTTAACCTCTTTCAAGGACTTTTCCCTCCCATACCCCCAATCCTGCTGTTCTCAAGAATCTAAGCAACCACTGGACTAGCTCCCCTTGTAGCACAAGGGGCCCAGAAAGTGGTGACACCAAATCCCTTTCCCCTGTGCTACAAGTTGTGTGCAGTAGCTCCTCAGGCACACACCTGATTTGGGGGTGGCCGGCCCATCCTGCAGATCCAAGGTGGGCCCCGTGGTCTCGCTGGGTTTGGGGTTGTGCTGACCGGGTTTGTGCCCAAGGAGGTGATACTTGTAGATGTCCATCATCAGAAACTCATTGAACTGTACGTGCTCATGCCGCTTCAGGGGCGTGCCGTGGCTGGACCAGCTCAGCCGCTGGAGGTGGATGCACAGACACTGAGGGAGCTGTGGGGTGGGGGTGGGGGGAGAGAAACCGGAAGTGGTCGAGTGTTGGGGGCAACCTCCCACCCCACCCCGCAGAGCAAAGCTGACAAGGTATGTGAGATGGGCTCACCTTCCCTAGTTTCAGCTGTTTAACAAAGGTGGTCCTCTGGTGTTCCACCTTTTCCCCATTCAATGTCCCTTTGGCTTCAATCTGAAATAAAAGAAAACCTCTGCAGAATTTCTTGAAATGAAACATCTATGGAGAGCCACAGGCCAGGTTTGTGTTACACCTGTATTCAGTTGGCACCTGACTTTGACCCGCTAAAGGAGCTCAGCTACCCAGTTAATCTTGAGTTATTCTCACTGTTTTAGTCATTAAGTAACAGTGACAGTGGGTCCAAGAGAAATGACAGTGTGATGCTGAACTCTGAAACAGGTGCATCATCTATTTTCTTTCGTGTCTTCATAAGTTCTCCACGTGGTTCCTCTTCTTCAGAGGATGGCACGTGAATGCTCAGGAGAGTCAGGCAGGTGAGTGTCGGTAGGGCAGGGTGCGAGAAGAGGAGTGGTGGGGGGGGTGGAGGTCCCATCTCAAAGCATAGCACTCACATTTTCCCTGTAAACATTCTAAGGATGAAGTAAAACTCATCTGGGAAAGAGCTCTGGTCCATGGACTACTGATTTCCTAGCCAGGTTACGTAGCCGTGGCTGAAAAGACCACCTGGGTATAGCCAGAAGAGCACAGGCCAATAGTAAGTGGTGGTATGAGAGGTGCTATATCAGGACACACAGGCTGGCTGCAGGGTGACACTGAGGGTTAGAGGCATACCTGCGTACAGTTGTCACATACGACATCTCGCACGGATTCTGATGAGATAAAGTGGTGAAGGCAGTGGTCCAGGGTCAGCGGATTCCCCTTTAGCACCGGAAAACAAAATTCACGATTGTAATTCAAAGGCAAGCTACATTGAAACTACTAATGGATGGCAATGTGATCCCACAGCCTTATTTTTGCTTATATAGGCAAATAGTCACAGATGCAACTGGATGTTCCCTGAGCAAATATGGAGCTCAAAGCATCCTAGACTTGTTCTTATGAGTAGATACAAGACTGCGAGGACATAACACTAACATAACACTTATGGAGTTCCACACTGTTTTAGGTATCTTTGAATTTGAGATTAATATGGAGGATGGGGGAGCCAAAATTCCTGCAGCCAGAGAAAAAAACATCTACTTTCTTCTCCCTCAAAATCAGGCCATGGCACCACACAAAATCACCAAGACAGTTCAGCTAACCATGTGTCTGAGTAATGCATAGTACCTCAGCTACAAAAAGTATCTCAAAGCCTGCTGGATTTCAATGTGTCCAAAACAGACCCCAAATAAACCATCGCTTGGCTTGGTACATACCCACGTGGCAGCTGGAATACTCAGTGAAAGGCTGTCGAAGGTATCAAATCGAACAGGACTCTGAAACAAACATTGCAGAAAATCCAGAAAGGATGGAGGTTCAAGTCAGAGCTTTAGAGATGGGAACCATACATGCCTACAAAATAGTTTAATATTTAGATGCCCAATGCTGACATAATGAAACACAGTATACTTACCTACAAGCAAATTCTAGGACAAACAACACTGTCAGCGTAAGAGATACAGTAATACCAAAGGGCAGCTTATAAGATAACTGTAAACGCATATACCTGACCCAGAAATGTAAGGGTTTTATCATTATGAAATAACCATGGACAAAACTATAGGGGATGTTCATCAAGGCATTATTTATAACATCAAAATGTGAATAACTGAAATTTCTAGGGAATGATTAAATAAATTATGTCATGTCCACAGGATAGAACATTCTATTAAAAATAGCATAGCGGGGACATCTGGGTGGCTCAGCAGTTGAGTGTCTGCCTTCGCCTCAGGATGTGATCCCAGAGTTCCAGGATCGAGTCCCGCATAGGGTTCCCTGCATGAAGCCTGTTTCTCCTCCCTCTGCCTATCTCTCTGCCTCTCTCTCTGTAGCAAGGGGCACCTGAGTGGCTCAGTCAGTTAAGTGACTGCCTCTGGCTCAGGTCATGATCCTAGGGTCCTGGGATGAAACCCCACGTTCGGCTCCCTACTCATTGAAGAGTCTGCTTCTCCCTCTATCTGTTTCTCCCTCTGTCTCTGCCTGCATCTCATCCCCCTGCTTGGGCTCCCTGTCAAATTAAAAAAAACTTTTTAAAAAATTCTTTAAAAAAAAACAGCATAGTAATGTGTGAGTATACAGAAACATAGAAACATGTTCCTGTTGGGTTATTAACTGTAAAAAAAACCCAGATGATAAAATAGAGTAAGGGTTGCTGCATTTTGTGATGGCAGAGGAGCTTGGCTAGACTAGCTCTCCTTGAGATAATGCATATAAATTCTGGACCAAAACAAAACACAACTGTCTGGATGATTGAAGAGCTACTGCCAACTCTTGGGAAAACAGGAACTCTACAGTGAGATTTGCATTGTGTGACTTTCTGCCTGAGGAGGGTACTCCCTGGTCTACACAGTTCAGTGCTGGGTAGCAAAAAGCCTCGGTCTTAAAGGATGGAAGTATCAGAAGACAAAGTTCAGGGCTGGTAGAGAAGCTGGGGGAAATCCCAGAAAGAGGGCAGCCACAGACAGGATGACCCCCCAAATCGGTGTTTAAACCCTGCCCGATTCCAAGGCATACACAGAGAAACTTCAGAAGCCTGCAAAAAGCAGAAGCTAGGAGCTGAAAAAACTACACTGAGTTTGCTCCCTGATGTGGGGAGGACAGTTTGGCTTTGAATTCAGCCAAGTTAACTGCACTCAAGAACAGAATTCGTTATTTTTCAGAGAAACAGAACAGGATCCGAAGTCCCTACTATAATGTTAAATATGCAACAAAAAAAATAACTAGACATACAATATAAAGAGGAACACATGACCCATGGTGAAGGATTCTATGGATGACTTGGATACTGAAATTAGCACAGGGACCTTAAAAAGAATTATGATCAATGTGCTCAAGGATAAACAGAAAGAAAGTTATTTAGTCCTGGAGGCAAATAGAGTCTCAGCAGATGAATGGAAATGGTGAAGAACCATATGAATATTATACAACTAAATACAACAATAACTAAAATGAAAAGTTCACTGGACAAGCAAACAAAGTGAAGATGAAAGGAGTCCATGAACTCGAAGACAGGTCCACGGAAATTATCCAATTTGAAGGACACGGAGGAGAGGTTGAAGAAAAATGAACCAAGCCTCAGCAAGTTGTGGAACGATATCAAACAGACCAACAAGTAGACAATGGGGCATAACAGCTTTGGAAAAATAATGGCCAAAAGAAATGTGCAAATTTGGTGAAAACATAAAGGTACAGATTTATGAAATTCAGCAAATTCCAAGCAAATAAAATGCAAATGATACCTGGGCAAAGAGTGGACAAACTGCCAAAATTCAACAATAGAGAGAAAAATTTCATAGGCAGACAGAAAAAGAAAAATGACACTTTACAAACAGGAGGATGATATGAGTGATATGGGCTGTGCACTAGAAAAGGTGAAGACCAGGGGTGCCTGCGTGGCTCAACTGGTTAAGCATCTGCCTTTGGCGTGGGTCATGATCCCAGGATCCTGGAATTAAGCCCCAAATTGGGTTCCTTTTTCAGTGGTTAAGTCTGCTTTTCTCTCTCCCTCTCCAGCTCCCCCTACTGGAGTGCTCTCTTTCTCTCTCTTTCTGTCAAATAAATAAATGCAATCTAAAAACAAAACAAAAAAAAAGAAAGAAAAGAAAAGAAAAACAAAAGAAAAAGTGGAGGCCAGAAGCCAACAGAACAATGCCTTTAAAGTGATGAACTGGAAGTAAACAAGCCAGGCATACGGGAACCTCCTCCACAGTTTGGGGGTGAGGAGTGGCTGGGAGACAAGATGACCCTGAGATGTGGGGCCCTGGCTCTACTGCTCTGTAACTTCCTCAGGGGGCTCTGACTAGTGGAAAGAGGGGTGGAAGCTCAAGAGCAGACAAGGTCTTTGAGGATTTGGCTCCGCCCAAAGGGATGATGTCACCCTCACATGCACCTGATTCCGGGGGCCTATCTTCCTGCTTTGATGCCACATATCACATGTCAAGTATTCTTTGCCTATGGTCAAGTGCAATCTGTAGACTGCTTCAAATGCCAGAGGTGACCATGGTGAGGATCAGAAGGAGGTGCACAATCAGCAGCAGGTGCATGGGTCGGGGGACAGTGGGGAGCAGGGAGGGAAAACAGTGTTATCTAGAACAATTGCTGGAAATTCACCGGCCACTGCTTGAGAGCCTGAGGTGGTGAAGTTGTGAGGTTCCTTTCACCCCTGCCAGGTTGCTCAAGAACAATGCAGCTTTCAGAGCTAGTGGGCAAGGCATGGGGAGCCACTGCAGTAAAGACTCCTGGAAGGTCTGATTTCCGGCACTACTCTCTACCTTATTGTCCCCTTCCTCTCCCTCCACTGATAAACAGCAAGTCAGCTGTGGGAGGCATCTGGATGTAAGGTTTCTGTGTACTGTAAGATGATGCAAAGCAATTGCTACCAGACTCTGCCTGGCTCATCTTCCCTTCCACAAACTGAGATGACCTTCCACAGTCAACCACTTCCTAACAAGACACCATGACTGGAAACATAGGTGCCAAATTACTTCAGTCAAAAAAAAACACAAATAAATCAAATCAAACCAAACCCAAACAACAGCAACACTGTCAACCCTCAAATCTGCACCAAACAAAACTTCTTAGGGGAAAAAAAGGCAAAACAGAAGCATTTTTCATATAAATGAATACTAAATTAATTTGTTGCCAAGAGAGCTGTAAGAAATGTTACAGGAATCTTTTTAGGCTAAAGGGAAAAAACATCAAATGGACTTGGGACTAAAGAGGGGCCAGAGAACACTGAAAATGGCAAATAGAAAACATTTTTAATATTTTTCTTTTAGGGATGCCTAGGTGGCTCAGCAGTTAAGTGTCTGCCTTCAGCCCAGGGTGTGATCCTGGAGACCAGGGATCGAGTCCAGTATCGGGCTTCCTGCATGGAGCCTGCTTCTCCCTCTGCCTATGTCTCTGCCTCTCTCTGTCTCTCATGAATAAATAAAATCTTTTAAAAAAACCTTTTCTTTTAAATTCATATAACTGTTTAAAGCAAAAATTATGATAGTATTGTAGGATTATAATACATGGGTGTAACATAGATGACAAAAAATGGAGTAATAGGGCAGCCCCGGTGGCGCAGCGGTTTGGCGCCGCCTGCAGCCTGGGGTGTGATCCTGGAGATCCGGGATCGAGTCCCACATCGGGCTCCCTGCCTGGAGCCTGCTTCTCCCTCTGCCTGTGTCTCTGCCTCTCTCTCTGTGTCTATGAATAAATAAATAAAATCTTTAAAAAAAAAATGGAGTAATAGAACTCTTCTAAGTTTGGAGTAAATATACCATGATGTGTGAAAAGTGCATGATGTAATCACACACACACACACACACACACACACACACACACACACATAAATGTAAAAAAGTAGAGCTAAAAAGCCAATGGAGGAATTACAATGGAATACTAAAAAATATTCAATTAACCCAAAGGAAGGCAGGAAAGGAAGCACAGAGGAGCAAAAAAATTATGAGACAAATAGAAAACAGTGAACTAGCAGACCTAAATCTAACCACATAAATACAAACCAATTAAAAGGCAAATTGTCAAACTGAACCCAATTATATGCTATCTACAAAAGCCACACTTTAAATACAAAGACAAAGTTAGGTCAAAAATAAGAAAACAGAAAGAGATATCCTATAGAAATACTAGTTAGGGGTGCCTGGGGGGCTCAGTCGGTTAAGCAACTGACTCTTGGTTTCAGCTCAGGTCATGATATCAGAGTCCTGAGATCAAGCCCCAAATCAGGCTCCACGTTCAGCAGAGAGTCTGTTTGAGAGATTCTCTCTCCCTCTACCCTTCCCCCTGTTCACACACACACACACACACACACACACACTCACACTCTCTCTCTCTCTCTCAAATAAATAAATAAATAATAAATAAAATAAATAAGGAAGAAAGAATAAGGAAGAGGAGGGAGGAAGGGAGGGAGGGAGGGAGGGAGGGAGGGAGGGAGGGAGACTAGTTAGGTGGAAAGTAATCAGACAAAATAGACTCCAGGATAAGAAGTCTTCCCAGAGATATTTAAGGAAGAAACAAGACTGATCTTAACCAAAGTCCTCCAGGAAATAAAGGAAGAAGGAACACTTCTCCCAGCTCATGGTACGAGGGCAGTATAATCATCATAACAAAACTTGACAAGACATTACAAGAAAACTGTAAGACCAATATTCCTCCTAAACACAGACACTAACCTCTTTTAGACAGTATCAGCAAATCAAATCCAGTAATATATGTAAAAAATTATAATCACAATCAAGTAGAGTTTATTCTAGAATCATAAGGTTAGTTTAACATTAGAAAAATCAATCTGGGATGCCTGGGTGGCTCAGGGGTTAAGCTTCTGCCTTTGGCCCAGGGCGTGATCCTGGAGACCTAGGATAGAGTCCCATATCAGGCTCCCTGCAGGGAGCCTGCTTCTCCCTCGGCCTATGTCTCTGCCTCTCTCTGTCTCTCATGAATAAATAAATAAAATCTTTAAAAAACAAAAGAAAAAGAAAAATCAATCACTATCACTCAACATAAAAGGAATAAAAGAAAAACATGACACTGAGTGAAAGAAGTTAGTCAGTCGCAAAGGACCTCATGATTCAGGGCATAGGAAATGTCCAGAATAGGCAAATCTATAAAGACAGGAAGCAGGTTAGTGGTTGCCTGAGGCTAGAAGAGCAGGGGAAATGGAGAGTAACTGCTAATGGGGGAGGAGGGGGGAAGGGTTTGCAGGGTGGGAGTGGGGACAGGCTCAGCAGGGAATGAAAATACTCTAAAACTGATCAAGGTGACAGTTACACAATTCTCTATTTTTGTATTTAGTTGGAATTTTTCAAATAAAAATTATTTTAAAATGTTGAAAGCAAAACAAAAACTAAAGTAAAAACAAAACAAAACAAAAAAACCAAAAACCCAACCAAACCACAGAATCTGTTGTGCCTACCGCAAACATACAGACCCAAACTAGACTCAATTCCTGCCAATCCACAGTTGGTCTGCTGCTCTCTGAGAAGATGCCACCTGAGGGTCAAATGACATGTGGGCCCTGCCTAAAGGGAGGTGGTCAGTCCACAAGTGCACAGAGCCCAGGTGACTACAAATGCCATCTACCAATGTCAGTCTACATTCTCCAGATGCTTCATGAGTCTCAAAAGAAAACCTTGCCAAAAATATCAAGCACTGGTATTGTATTTACCTGGTGTTCACAGTGTTTGCAGACCATGTTACTCGTCAGCCTTCCATGGAAAGGATGCTGGGATTTCCAGTGATTAGACGTGGGATGAGGTGACCCTGAAACACAGGACGTGTTTTGCTTTGCTATCTCTAGCCGTTTGGCACCAACTCAACTCACTGTCCTATTCAGTGTTTCATAGCAACTCCCTCTTCAGAAACAAATGTTCCTGAAAAGTAAACTGAAATAGCTTTCCATCAAAAAGACAACCCATTTCCTTCACAGGAGAATTTATACAAGTCCTTAAATGTGGTTTCTGTATAGTGGCTAGGCCACACTAAAGGAAGGAGTTTCTACTATATGTTACCTTGAATTTAAATAAAATCTTGAGGGGCACCTGGGTGGCTCAGTGTTGAGCATCTGCCTTTGGCTCAGGTCGATATCCTGGGGTCCCAGGATTAAGTCCTGCAACAGGCTCCCCACAGGGAGCCTGCTTCTCCCTCTGCCTATGTCTCTGCCTCTCTCTGTGCCTCCTCTCATGAATAAATAAATAAAATATTTTAATAAATAAATAAAATCTTGAAAGGAAAAAAATTAAATAAAAAAAGAATTTGTTTTGTTGAATGTGTTTTCACCAACACTCACTTAACATGTTTGAGATGTCAAAGGAAGGATACCACAAGTGAACATTCCAGAAAGTGAGATAAACTTCTAAAAATCATCAGAATAAGCAAAATCTGAAAAACTGGGATTTCTTTTTTTTCTTTCTTTCTTTCTTTTTTTTTGGATAGGATGGGAGTTGGAGGAATCAACAGTGTGGGAAGCTAGTCAGAAACACACGCCCTAGAATCATGTGGCCCTGGGCTCCATCCTTGCTTTGCTTTTTATTAGTTTTATAACCCAGGAAGTCACTTCTTCTCTGTGAGGTTTGGTTCACTGGAAATGGGGACAATTATTAACCCATTATCTCCATGATTAACTCCACACCATTGCTCTGAGGCTTAAATGAGATGCTACGGTGCCTGGCCAAAGTTTGGGGCTCAAAAGATAATCATTGTTATTACTACTGATGCACAAAGGAATTCACGCGTCTTTTCCTTAAGTTTAGGTCTTAAGAAAACAACAATCTCCTTCTAAGGAGGACCGTGATCATTTGCTGAGGATATGACCATTTCGGCTTAAGAAGTTCCTCATGAGATCAATTCAAGAAGGTAGAAAGAAAACTCTTGCCTGAAGTAGAAATAAGTCCATCACTTTTTCCGAGGCATTAAAACTGAGCAAGGCCTCAGTGTGAGGCAACAATTCAGGATGGCCCAAGGGAACCAACGCAAAACTGTTTCTAAAACCCAAGTCCCTTTGCAAGTACACGCAGTTCAAGCTGGATAGGATGTCACCAGAAAAAAAAACGGTGTTTTGTTTTGTTTTTAAAAAAACAAGCAAATCATTGTCATATCTCAAATGTACCCATCTTATGTGTTACAGTTCAAGGGGGATGATTACCTCTTGTGCGGCAGGTTATTTGCTTAGGAGTTATTTCTGGCTGCTGCTGTAGGGAAAGAAAGAAAAAAACACACTGAGAACCCAGCTATGATCCCTTTTACCTGCCTCACCCTGCTCCTAAAGCTTTCAAGTTTCTCTGTGGATTTCATCACTTACACCTAACTTTTAATGAGAGATCCTAAAAGTAGCCCTAATGATCCTCTCTGGTTGGTTACTGTACCTCATCCTTCATCAAATGCTATCAAAACACATTTCCTCTCTCTGGAATATGCCCCTCCCTTCATTAGGTAACTTGAATCAACTCCCTAATATTTATAATGTTCCAGGGAAATAAGGCTTCATTTAGTATTCCTTTGGTTCCTGGTCCCCTCTGTTAAATAGGGGGAAAATACCTTTTCTTCTCAAAGCCAACACAAATTGCAGCAATTAGTCATTTTAAAGAGCCTAGACACCCCTAACCAGTCACCAATTGCAAAGTCTGCAGCTTGAGACAAACACCAGCTCCATGCCCAGTCTTGATTTTTACTGAGACTTACTTTTGAGTTCAGGGTTATACAAAAATTATACATATACTTATACTTCCTCTACCTAGGAAATATGCACAAACCTCACACATGGATTGAAAATACTAATGGCTTACCTCCAGGGAATGCACATCAAACAAATGTGTGACCCGGGGCTGCCGATCCCGCTCATCTTCCAGGGAGGACGTAATGACATGGAATAACTCGTGTGCATCCTGTCAAAGGGCAAAGAAGGTTCAGACGGGGCGGACACAGCATCAGGAGTGCTGCTCTGTGGGCCGCCAGGCAGATTTCCTGCACCTTTCCACCTCCTCAAGGCCCAGCCCATTTATTTTTTATTTTTTATTTTTTTGGTCCAGCCCATTTAATGGAAATTTATATCCTAGATATTTTCACAACAAAGGACCTTAACTAAGGGGCCCAAGAGGAGAGAGAAGGAGAGCAAGCTGTAGGGGGCCTTCACACCACCTGTCTCTGAGCCTGGTTCAGCTCTGGCTGCCCCTCCACTGGACTACTCCTTTTTTACTGCTAAAATACACACACGATGTTCAGGTGGCCATTTTTACCATTTTTAAGCGTACGAGTTCTGCAGGGCTAAGTACATTCACACTATTGTGTGATCATCAGCACAGCCCATCCTGTGAACTTTTCTACCTTTCCCATCTGCAACTCTGTCCCCCTCAAACACTGACTCCCCACTCCCTACCCCAGCCTCTGGGGGCCACTTTCCTACTCTGTCTCAGGCAACCTGGTTACTCTCGGGATCATACTGTGTTTGTCCTTATGTGACTGGCTTATTGCACTAAGCTCAATGGCTGCGAGGCTGATCCATGTGATAGCACATGTCAGAATTTCCTTCCTTTTTTAAAGTTGAGTAACATTCCATTGTGTGTGTATACATAAGTATGTCCATGTATGCATACTCTATTGCATGTGTACACACACACACACACACACACACACACACACACACCGCATTTTGCTTATCCATTCATGTGTTAATGGAACCTGGGCTGCTTCTACCTTTTGGCTGCTGTGAATAATACAGCTATGCAGGGACACCTGGGTAGCTGCCTTTAGGTCAGGTCGTGATCCTGGGGTCCTGGGATGGAGTCCCACGTTGGGCTCCTTGCAAGGAGCCTGCTTCTCCCTCTGCCTGTGTCTCTGCCTCTCTGTGTCTCTCGTAAATAAAAAAAATAAAATCTTAAAAAAAAAAAAAATACAGCTATGCATGTGGGCGTACCAGATTCTGTGGAAGTCCCAACTTTCAATTCTTCTGGGCATACACCCGGACATGGAATTGCTACAACGTATGGCAGGGGGCAGCTCTATTAAGGAGCCTCTCTCCCCAAAAGCCAAAGCCAGCCCTGGCTCTTCTGGGATGGGTAAGTCTCTCCTCCTCCGAACTCAGATGGCACTGAACCTGCTGGGCTCTCCCTCCACTCACCAGGGTGATCTTTTAAGAGGCAAATGCCTTTACTCTTCTGCTTTCAAGTTCCCAGTGGCTTTCACTGGTGGGGTAAATCCCCCCTTTTCAGCTGGCCCACGAGGCCTGAGGACCTGATCTGGCCCCTCAAGCTCCCTGCCCCACTCGCCACGCTGCACCCTGGCTTCCTTCTGCTCCATGAGCCAGCCATCAGGGCCTGCTCTTCCCTGTGCCCTCGCCTGGGAAGCCCACCCATATCTTCACACAGTTGCCTCCTTCTCATCCTTCACATTTCTGCTGAAAAGGTACCTCCTGAAGGAGACCTTCCTGCAAGGATCCTCCCTGACATAAGCCCCCACCCCCTGCCACCTCCTGCCGGTGCAGCGGCAGTCCTCTACACCCAACACATACCCTGAATCATGGAGGACTCTGTCTCCCCTGCCTCAACACCAGTCTGAACCAGGCCATCGGCGGCCCGGACACCTACAATGGCTTCTCAACTTTCCTCTCTGCTCCTTCTGGCCCACTTTGACCCCTCCAGTACAGCATGTCTGTTCAAACAGACCAGGTCGGAGCAGACCCTGTACAAGGCCGCCAGTAGCTCCCCACTGCACACAGTAGAAGCCCAACTCCAGTCCAGGGTGGCTGAGGCCCTGCATAATCGGCTCCCCGCAACCATCGGAGCCCCTGGCTGCAGCCACGCTGGGCTCCTTGCCCTTCCCCAAACACGGCATCCTCAAGGCTCTCACCCTGTACGGTCCTATCTGGAATATTCTGGCAGCCAGCTCCTCACAGTTCTCCCTTCTTTTTAGACTTCAGCAATAACTTAACATCTCCACAAGAGCCTTCTCTACCTAAGGGAGTCTCCCCACTGCTTTTCTCTACCACCTCCCCCAACTGTACATTCCCCCCCACATTCTCACTGGCACATCTTATCTTATTAAGATAAGCATGCTTATCTTCTTGTTAACGCATCTTGAAATGGCTTCATTATTGGCTCCAGTTCTCCACCAGAATATAAACTCTCTGCGAGCAAGAGCCCTGTAGAGAGTGATGGGAGATCCCAAAGATCAATAAGGCCCTTGAGGGACAGATGTGGCAGCCTGGCTATTTTATCTAGCTGTAGTGCTATAGCCTGAAGAAGGCCCAGCTTCTCCAGGGAGGCTCACAGACAAGGCATCTAGACCAACCCTTCAAGCAGGAACAGGGGTTCACCAGGGAGAGAAATGCCAAGACAGGCTGGAGTCAGACCCAAACCCTATTCCATCACAGTGAATCACGGAAGGATGTGGCCCTGAGAAAAGGAATGTCTTGAGAAGAGGGCAGAACTTCAGTGTGCACTGGAGAAACTGATTGGCTCAAATCCTGCCTCTGCCACTAAAACAGCTGTGTGACTGTGGGTGCATCACTTTGCTTCTCTGAACCTCAGTGTTCTCATCTGCAAGATGGGGACGGTAAGAGTGAGTCTTTTTTTTTTTTTTTTTTTTAAGAGTGAGTCCTTACAGGGTTGCTATAAGGATGACAGTAGAGAACCCCCATGAGGCAAACACCTGGCCCAATACATCCCCCACGGCTCTAGCTCTAGACAGTGAGAAGTGGTTGGCAGTGTAAGTCTACTGTTGACTAATGAGATCAGTAATAATCAAGATGAGGGTAAGGCCCTGGGCCAGAAGCTCTGATGCATTTAGAGAGGAAGAGGCCAACGTGGAGCCATGCTTGCCTCTTTCCCATGCACACTACAGCTTAGTGTGGCTGCAGGCTGAAGCTTACTTTCTAAGGTAAAGCCACCTGCCTCTCTCTGAAGGACCCAGGTGTTCCCGGCAACCAGTGAAATGCAAAGTCACTCAACAAAAAAGAGGCAAAAAAAAAAAAAAAGAATGAAAAAGAGGCTCATTCTTTGGCAACTATGTGTTTAAACCCTATCCTGTTAACCTCTCCACCCACGGGGTAAAAAAAAAATAAAAACAAAAGGCTGCATTTCTCCTCTGATCATGAGAATAGGAACAAAGTTCATGATCTGGTCCCAGAATACTAAACCATCCCAGAAATGTAAACTCCAACCAGACAAGTGCAAGGTCAATACTGGCATTTATTCCTCATGGGGCAGCAAGGTGACTAGTTTTCTGCCACCATTGCCAGCTCAGGCCCCAATGCATTAGTGAGCAGGATTTTGAATGGGGTGTTCACCTGTTCTTCAAATGAAGAGATCTGCCATCTGTACATCCTTAAGACATCCAACAAGCAGCTTGCATCTAAGACCTCATCGTCGGTGACTTCTTGGCAGGATAAAGCTGGAAACCAAAAAGGTAATGTAATTATTAGATTTACTAACCTAACAACAAACCAGGAAACCTACCAGACCACACATCAAAGCCAATTATGCATTCATCTCACTGTAAAGTTTACCTTGGAATTATAGTTCTCTCATTATTCCTCTTTGTAGCTTTACCCAAGGATTAGAGGGCTGTTAGGCACCACGCATTTACTGAATGAATGTGATTTTTCATGAGCCTGTAGTATTTAAATGAAGTAACTGATTCCAGCTATTTGAATTGCCATCATCAATATATATATAAATCGTTGACTCCCTTCAATAGGACTCTCTCTGGGGCCAAGGGGCCTTCACTTGTGTTTGTCTGCCCTCAAATTTCTGATTTTCATAGCAAAGCAGGAAGCCATATGTGTAGCCTGAAAGGGGCTGCTGAGTAGTTTTCTTTTCTTTTCCTTTTTTTTTTTTTTTTTTTAATGTAGGCTCCACACCCAGCATGGAGCCCATTGCGGGGATTGCATTCATGACCATGAGATCAACACCTGAGCCAAGATCAAGAACCAGACATTCATTCAACTGAGCCAGCCAGGCACCCCAGTTTACTTTTCAACCATAAGTAGAATCAAGCTTAATAAACAAAAATTCAAGTTTGGTTTATGATTTGAGTTTATAATTACAGCTACATCAAGGGTTGACAAACTTTTTCTGTCAAGGGTCAGACAGGAGATATTTTTGGCTTTGGAGGCTCTGCAGCCCCTATCTGACTCTGCTGTTATAGCACCAAGGCACCCATAAAGAGCAAGGAAATGGGCGGGCTGTTGCAATAAAACTTTACTGACAAAAGCAGTGACACAGATGTGGCTCACAGGCCATAGTCTGCTGGTTCCTGATCTTGCTCATGGCCCCTTCCACACTATATTTCATTGGACTGGTATTGCTAGAGTGTGGGAGATAAAAATACAGGGGCCTGCCACCTCAGTACAGCTTCCCAAGTTCAATAACCTCTAGGAGAACTAAACCAGCCTCTTTCTTCTCTTTGCTTTGCAATTAGTGAACTTGAGACCTTCCTTTGAATCCTTCAGGCTCTGGCTTGGGAGGTTCTTCAGCAATACCACCTCCATCCCTACCTGGTCTTGGTGGGACCCTGGGTGGTAACCTGTGGAGAAGCAGCAGCCCTGGTAGCCAATGCTAAGTCCTGAGGCTCGTCTGATCACTGTAGATATGCCCTGGTGTCAGATTTGAACCCTCCAGATTTGTACCCTCCTTCCCTTGTTCCTCCTACACTCCTCAGGTAGCCTGTCTGTTAGCTTTTAACCTCCTAAGGAAAATTTGAATGTCCCCTTTAGCCTAATTTTGCCTAAAATGCTGTGGGGAAATTCAGCAGTGTCTACTACTTTTCATATCCTACAATTCATATTCTAGCAATCTGACTTTCTCAGGATCTATGCTAGGGAGACGGGCTCGTGTGAACTAGGGCACAAACAATAATATTCACTGTGGCCTGTTTACACCAACAAGGCCCTGGAAGCAAATAACTAAATAATATTATCTTGCCCATATGGATACTGTGCCACTGTGAAAGTGAATGAGGTTTGCAGATCACATATCTGCTAAGGGACTGAGATCCAGAACATATGAAGAACCTCTGAACTCAACAGTGAAAACAAAGACAACCCAATTCCAAAATGGACAAGGGACTTGAATAGACATTTATAAAAAAGACACACAAAAAACAATACACACAGCCAGAAACACATAACAACTCCTGTTCAACCTCACTTATCAGTAGGGAAATGCAGATCAAAACCACAATGAGATTTCACTTCACACCCATGATGGCTACTATCCAAAAGACAGACAATAACGAGTGTTGGCAAGGATGTGGAGAGTAGGAACCCTTCGTGCACTGTCAGAGGGGTGGGAAATACAAAATGGTACAGCTGCCCTGGAAACCAGTATGATGCATCCTCAAAAAAATTAAACAGAATTACCATGGTCCAGCAATTCCCCTTCTAGGTATATACCCAAAAAAATTAAAAGCAGGGATGAGTAGATACCTGTACACCCATGTTCACAGCAGCATTATTCACAGTAGCTGACGGTGGAAACAATCCAAATGCCCCTTGACTAATGAATGAACAAAAGGTAGTATGTACATACAATGCAGTATTATTCACATTAAGCCTTAAAAAGGAACAGAATTCTGACCCGTGCTACAACGTGGATGAACCTCAAGGACATCACGCTGAGTGAAATAAGCCAGACACACAAGGACAAATACTCTATGATTCTACTTCTATGAGATACAGAGTCAAACTCATAGACAGAAAGAAGCACAGTAGTTTCTGGGGTCTGGGGATTGAGGAGAATGGAAAACCATTGCTTGTCGGATAGAGTTTCAGGACGGGATAATGGAAAAGCCCTGGTGAAAAGAACAGTGGGTGTGGTTGTCAAACACTGTGAATGTACTCAATGCCACCCAAATGTGTACTTAAAAGTGGTGAGGACGATACATCTTCTGTTACGGAAATTTTACCACAATTTTTAAAAACTGGGTGATGGGGGCAGCCTCAGTGACCCAGCAGTTTAGCGCCGCCTTCAGGCCAGGGCGTGATCCTGGAGACCTGGGATCGAGTACCGTGTCAGGCTCCCTGCATGGAGCCTGCTTCTTTCTCTGCCTGTGTCTCTGACTATCTCTCTTTCTCTCTGTCTCTCATGAATAAATAAATAAAATCTTAAAAAAAAAAATTGGGCGATGGGAATGAGGAGGTTATCCACAGAAGACATAAGACCAATAAACTCACAAAAAGAAAAAAAAAAAAAGAATGAAGTGGGGCTACCTGTACTGAAACAGATATCTCTCCAACACGGATATGATTCTGTTATTTGGTTATGCAAAAACATAAATGAAAATCAGTATGTCATTTCTATGGGTGCTTAGAAACTTATCAAAATGCACAGAAAACAGTCTGGGAGGATACACTTGTATTTTACTTTGGGAAGAAACGAGGGGAACAGGATTAGGGCAATGATAAAGGGAACTGTAGCTTTATGTGTGATGCTTTAATTTTTTACAAGGAGAATGTATTCATGCATTACTTGTCAAATTACAAATCATCTCTGAAAACCAAAATAAATGACCCTGAAAAGCAGAAGCAGGGAAGGGAATACAGATTCCAGGTGGAGCCACCCAGGCAGGCTCTGGTTCCCAGCCCCGCATCATGCATGTGAGGAGGAGAGCCAGTGGTCACACCACAATTCCTGAACCTGTGTTATCTGCCTGTGTACACATTTCAGCTTTCCGCTAGGGAATGGTATTTTTTTAAACAGGGTAGTAGAAGAAATTCTTTTCTAATCACTTGTTATACAGAAGAGCAGAACTTGGGATCCCTGGGTGGCGCAGTGGTTTAGTGCCGGTCTTTGGCCCAGGGCGCGATCCTGGAGACCCGGGATCGAATCCCACGTCGGGTTCCCGGTGCATGGAGCCTGCTTCTCCCTCTGCCTGTGTCTCTGCCTCTCTCTCTCTCTCTATCATAAATAAATAAAAAAATTAAAAAAAAAAAAAAAGAAGAGCAGAACTTGCTTTCTGTGTCAGGCTGAGATCACCTGGGAATATATCTCAGTGAAGCAACAGTGAGTCGAGTGTTTTTTAAACCCAATTTTTTTTTCTGACTGTGAGAGTCATGCCTGCTGTTTAGAGCTCTAGAAATACTGTTGTTTCGTTTTCATGTTTCTGAGAGGTCAACTGCATAAGACCAAAATGGCTGTGGTGAACATTTGGGTCTTTTTCTGTCCAACCTTTATCTGTGGAAATCTTTGCTTTGCTGAAATCAAATTACAACATATTCTGAACACTGTTTTTTTAAACTTAACATTATAGCCTATGCCCCTCCCACATTAAAAAAACCACAACAAAAACAACAAAAAACACTTTACAAAGGTGATGCCTAATAGCTACATAATATCCCATTGACTGACTGACCTCTTGCTGCTGGACACCCACCAACTCTCCTCCCAGGCCCTTCCTTATAACCAGGTGCTGGGAAATCTTTGTGCACCTAACAGCATTTCCCCAAATCGTGTTCTGGGGCATGTCCTCGGGATGTTAATTGGCATTATGGAAGGAAAAACTATTCTGCGGGCAAAAAAGCTAGTTGAAAAATGAAGTGGGATGGGTGATTTCTTCAAACCCATTCCAAGCCTGTCTCCACAGAACTCTCCCAGCTCAGGGTTGCTGCTCAGCCACTCCTGAACTCATCTGCTCAGAGAGCGCCATTTCAGGGGTGTCTGGGTGGCTCAGTGGTTGAGCCTTTGGCTCAGGTCGTGATCCTGGAGTCCTGGGATCGAGTCCCGCGTCAAGCTGCCTGCATGAAGCCTGCCTCTCCCTCTGCCTGTGTCTCTGCATCTGTCTCTCTCTCATGAATAAATAAATAAAATTAAAAAAAAAAAAAGAACTCCATTTCAGGCTAGTGTCAACCACAGTCTACTGAGTTCCTAAGTCAAATGGTCTGGACACTTTGTATCACCGTGTAGTTCCAAGCTGCTTTCCAGAAAGTTGGCCCTGTGTCACACCACCAGCAGCACATTTGAATATATTGTCCAGCAGCAGGGCAGGGCTGGGGAGTTTTCAGTCTTTGCTGATGGGTAAAACAAAGCTAACCTCACTGTTACATTATTTCTATTTCTTCCATTTTGGCTGAATTGAACAATTGAGTAACTATTAGACGCTTGTTATATCTACTCAATACAACCTGCACTATTTCTGCACTATTTCTTCTGCGAACTACCTTATTTCTTAGGCTAAGACACTTCTTTTTTCTAAACTTTAATAAACCAGAGTACTTCATACAATCAAAATACTTAAGCGGCATGGATCTGTTCTCTTTTCTAAAAAGCTGTTCATAAACTGACAATTTTTAAAAGAAATGGTTACATCTTTAATTTTTTTTTTAATAGCTGTTCATATCTACTGGGCCCTTGGTGGTTTTGTTTGTTTGTTTCCATGATGATCTACATGATCTTTTTTCACACAAAAGCTATTAATCCTTCACTTGTCATCTGGGCTGCTGCTTTCAAAATGTACACAAACCCCTTTAAATTCCCAGCCAGATACCTTTGAGGAGGTGCAACAGCGTTAAGGATAAATACTGGTGGGGTGAGGTCTCCTTCTGATCCCTGGTGTACTGGGTGGTAAACTCTTCCAGCCACTTGATGAAAGCAGGGCAGGCAGACAGGCCTTGTAGCAGGGAATTCATGAAGCAGGTGTTCCCTAAGTTGACAAGGCCAGGCACCAGTCCTGAAAAAGGCGGGGAGAAGAAGAGAAAAGCACATCACATTGGCCCAATTCTTCTTTCTCTCCCATTCAGGAGTCAGACTTTCTGTACTGGAGCCTGAAACTGAAAATCCCAATCTCACAAAGTCCTTATCCACACACATCAGGGGGCCAGGCATCCTGTCCGTACCGAGCCCTGGTCCTAGGGCTGCTCCCTCAGAAGCCTGTGACAACAGACATGTCTCCTATCATGTGTTACTTCTGATCACCACCACGGTGTCTGACACAATTTGGTTGACGCTGAGTATACAAAAACACTTCATAACATCTCTCTCTCTCTCCTTTGATAAGAAAGCAATGTCAGAACAGAAGAAAACAATTGTTTTTTTGTTGCTCCCCAGGACAATGATTTTGTTCTTGTAATCAGTTAGAAAGACACCACCATAGCAATTCTGATCAGTCTTTCTGCAAAGAGATCAACAAAATCTGACATATTTCCCTTTTCTGCTGAAATATTTTTAAAAAACTTTTTATTATAAGAGTTCTTAAACATGCACAAAAGAAGAGAGGATATATAATCAACTCCAATCATAACCACCCCCAGACCTAGCAATGATCAACCATTTTGCTCTATCAATCCCTTTTTTGGTTTGCTTGCTGTGGCTGAATTTTAATCGACATATCTGTTTTAAAATAAGGAAACAGAGTTTTGTATTAAAGATGTTAAATGGAAACTCTTACAAGCTTACTAGCAGCTACTCAGTGAAACCACAAATGCATCACACAACCAGTCAGCTGTGCTATTGAATAACATGAGCGCCATATAAAGAAGAACAGTCAGACAATTAAGCCATGTGAACTTTTTCATTACAGAGCATGGCTCAAACTCAAGATTTTAGAGGGGAAGAGACAGAAATCTTTTCATTATGGGACCTAAAGTAATGAGTCATTAAAATTAATTTCTGTTTAAAAGAAAGTACTGCCCCAAAACTGGAGATCCAAGAGAACAAAAATACCTCCCCTTTTTGTACTGTTTTAGAATAATAACGGGTTGGGTCAAGTCTGCAGACTATGATATAATGACCTCATTCTTACCTTTTCTACGCTTCTTCCTTTCTGTAATGGGACCCCAAATCACATAGATTCCTGCGGCAAGAGCAGCAGCAATTCCACCTATAACACCCCAGTTCTTCATGACTTTATATCTAAAAAGGAAAATAGGTTTACTGTCTTCCCTCATCACAAACACAATATGTGTAAATACAGATACAGGTATGAAGAAATAACATTTCATTAAAATAACCGACTAGTCCACCAAACACCTAACTTTCAACTTGAACTAATAATATAGTATAGAATTATGTCTTGAAAATCAGCATGTTTAGACATTAGCATTTAAAATCTAAGTCAGGGCACAGAAGCCCCATCTCACTCAGAGAGGAGGCCAAGGTTCTCTGCCTCCCATGCTGCCACTATATTGGCTACCTCAGGGACTTTGCACTGCTGCTCCCTCTGCCAGGATGCTCTCCTCCCTATCACTGCATGGCTCTCTCACCTCCCCTTCACTTCTAACCAACAATTAGAACTTGCATTCCTCGTCTCTTCTACCTAGGTCTGGATTTTCTTTACGTTCTTTTTCTTCTTCTTTGTTAAAGATTTTATTTATTTATTTGACAGAGAGCACAAGAGCATGCACAGCAGAGGGAGTGGCAGGCAGAGGGAGAGGGAGAAGCAGACTCTCACACAGCAGAGAACCCAATGCAGAACTCAATCCCAGAACCCTGGAATCATGATCTGAGCCAAAGGCATATTCACCAACTGAGCCACCCAGGTGCCCTTTTTATCACCTTCTAACATAACATTCACTTATCAGCTACGGTTATTGTCTGTCTCCCTCACTGGAGAGCAAAGTCCCCGCAGGCAGGGATCTTTGTCAGTTTTGCTCACTGACATATTCCAAGTCTCTAGATCACACGTGGCACCTAAGAGGTTCCTAATAGTATTTCCTGAATGATTGGACACTGGAGAAAACACGTATAAGTGAATTTATCTTTTAGATTACTAAACAGGGAGAAGGCATACAATATTACGGATGATATTCTAAGTATTTACTAAATTAAAATTTTCTTAACTCGAGTTAACTCTTCACTTAAGCACTTAAGTTATTCTTTTACTACAAAGACATTTCAGCGATTTAAAACATTGCTTTTATACAAAGTTATATATTTCCACCAAATAAACAACACATGTGTGAATATATATATGTGTGCCAACAGATAACTGTAAATGAGCGCTTGGTATGTGTATATGTATATTCTTATTCCAATATTTGGATCATGTGACTATTGTTCTGAGTTCAGCTCAGTCAACATCAATTCAATTCAATGCTAGTAACTCTGTCTACAACATCCACCATCTTCCTGTCGTAACCAATATGATACATAACTGCTAACTGAATTCCAATAAATCTTTATTCTCCCCAAGATAAAGTCAATAGAATGTGCAAAGAACTTGGTTAAGAAAGGGGTGTTGCGAGAGGCCTGGGTGGCTAGGTGGTTCAGCATCTGCGTTCGGCTCAGGGCGTGATCCTGGATCCGTGGATTGAGTCCCACATCGGGCTCCCTGCATGGAGCCTGTGTCTCCCTCTGCCTATGTCTCCACCTCTCTCTGTCTCTCATGAATAAATAAATAAAATCTTTAAAAAAGAAAGAAAGAAAAGAAAGAAAGAAAGAAAGAAAGAAAAGAAAGAAAGAGAAAAAAAGAAAAGAAAAGAAAAGAAAGAAACGCGCCCCAGGCCAAAGGCAGGCGCTAAACCGCTGCACCACCCAGGGATAGAAAGAAAAGAAAAAGAAAAAGAAGAAAAAGAAAAAAAAAAAAGAAGAAAAAGAAAAAAAAAAGAAAAAGAAAAGAAAGAAAGAGGTGTTGCATTAACCTGGTTCCATTCTGGCTCTTGCTAGTCCTTAGAGCATTGTCTTACCTTCTCCAGCTCAGCTTTGTCACTTGTACAATGGGGACGACCATGAGACCTAGCTCATGGAGTTCTGAGACTAAGCAAGCACTAGAGCAAAATTAAGGGCCTAAGAAATGCTAGCCACTACAATTATTAAGTATCATTATCCGAACTTCATTCATTAATTCAGTTATTCTTGAATTTCTTACTGCATTACTGTGCTGACTTCCATACAACAGGTATATTAACCAAAGTGCTAGAAAGGTTAAAAATAAAACAAAACCATCATTGAAATTCTAAAGCACTTTACAACTGCTTTAAATCCCCTGAACAAATGCTAATATTTAAGGGCGCATACTATATGCCAGGCACTGTGATAATCTTATCTCATCCTCAAAACAACCTGACAGAGATAGTCTCTAATATCATCTTCATTTTCTTTTTCTTTCTTTTTTTTTTTTTTTTATTTATTCATTCATGAGAGAGGCAGAGACATCGGCAGAGGGAGAAGCAGGCTCCCTGCGGGGAACCTGATGCAGGACTTGATCCCAGGACCCCAGATCACGCCCTGAGCCAACGGCAGACACTCACCACTGAGCCACCCAGGCTTCATTTTCATGGAAGAGATGTAGCCAACTTGGTCAAAGTGAGAGAGGCAGCGTGGATCTGAACTCATGCCAAGTCTGTGCTTAAACCTCGTGAGGGAAACTGAAGGACAGAGTGTGGAAGGGGGGAGAGGTCTTGCCCAGGTCCTCAGCAAAGTATAGACAAAAAACCCCAGGGTCAAATGGTGACCCCGGAAACCCCCATTCCTCTGCAAACTGACAACACAAGGAGGGCAGTGGGGTCCGGGAGTTAAAAAAGATCTGTCTTCTCGCCCATCTCCACGGTGAGGTCAGCTGCAGGGCCCCAGGCAAAGCCGTCTCGAGGCCTGCTTCCCATCTCCAGAATGGGGGCACTGGACAGGATAGCCACTGAGGGCTCCCGGCCCTGGAATAAGAAGCTCTTTAAACCTGCACCGGTTCCAGAGGAAAAGAAGCTAGGCTGAGCAACAGGTCTCAAGTCATTTAGGGTCAGGAATGGGGGTGCAGCGTTCAGCCCTCGGGCCTGGAGCCCATGGGAAGATGAAGAAGAAGAGAAGGGACATTGGGACCCTGATAGGATCGGGGCCCCATACTGCCGGGGTCCCTAGCAGGAATGGGAGACCCTACCAGGCCTCCAAGCCTCTACAGGTGAAGGGGTCCTGATCTGTTCCGGGCCCCTTGCAAGATAGGGATTCGCTAATAAGACTGAGGACCCACGCAGAATAAGGGATCGCTGTCTCAACTGGGGGCGGAGGGGCGCGGTAACAGGGATCGGGGTGCCGGCGAGGTGGGGGCAGGGCGAGCCGGTCCGGGTTGCCCTGCAGGGCGGTGCGAACCGCGGCAGGGCTGGGGAGCTCGGCGACACTGGGGAACGGCGGCGGCCCCGCGGCTGGGGCGCCGAGCGGGACTGAGGGCTCCTGGGAGGCCTGCGAGGCACCGAGAGGTCTGAGGGCCGCCGGCAGGATTCGAGGCTTCTCAAGCCGCAGGGTGTCTGGAAGTTCTGGGGACTAGGACAGGGCTGGAGGCGGCGCTGGCAGGTGGGGGGGGGGCTGAGAATTCGGGGCGCCGGCGCAACTGCGGAGGCCCGACAGAACGGCGTTGCCGAGCAGCCGGACGCCCCAGGCCCGTCCGCCCACCCTGAACGCGCCCGACGCCGAAGCCTCGGGGGGGCTCGCTCCCGCCCCCGGGGCGAGGCGGGCGCCGCGACCAGGCCGCCCCGGGCCCAGGCTGGGGGCCCCGGGCCCCCGGCCCGGCCGCCCCGCCCCCCAAGGCTCACCTGACCGCCGCCCCGGTGCGCAGGAAGCGCTGGATGGCGCGGTCGGCCGCGGTCACCGCCGCCTGGGCCCGGGAGCTCAGCATCGCCGCCGCGCCGGAGACCCGCCGCCGCCCCCGCCGCCACCACCAAGAGGGACCTGCGGCTCCGAAGGCTCCCGACGCGGCGGAACCCGCCGCCGCCGCCCCACAGCTCCTCCGGGGAAGGCAGGACGGAGGACCGGCTGCCCCGAGAACCGGAAGCGGCTGCCGCCCGAGAACCAGAGCGGACGGACCACATCCTTGTTTTCCCTTCTCTCCCGCCCCGCCTCCCGCGTCCTCCGCCCTTAGCAACGGGCGCCGGCGTCGGTTGCCGAGGGAGGCTCTGCGGCCCGCAGGCCGGCTGGGTTATCGACTTTCTCCCTGGCTCCGTGCATCTTAAATACAGGTGTCCCACTTCCAGCTCCTGGAGTCATTAAAAAAAAATTCTTTTCGTTATGAAGAGGGCAGTCCCGCCCGAAAGCGGGATCAGGCCTCGGCCACCCGTAGTTCTGGTGTTGTCAGAGTGGAATTAGGTTGCAGAGGAAGGGCCTTTAGAGAGCACGTGGCCCACCGCTGACCGCGTCCTTCGAGAACCCCGGCCTTTGATAATAGCCACCAAACTCACATGCATTGGTAAGTACGTCACATACGTTACTCGCATTCAACCTTCACACCAACCCTCACATGACCCACACTTCTTAGGAGGCAGTAAGCAGCTCGCACGTGGTGGAAACGAGATGGGCCGTGAAGTCTGTGTCTCCAGAAGAAATGTAAGGGAGGCCACATGTTACATTTCCTAATAGCCTCATGAAAGTTAAAAAAAAAAAGAAAAAGAAAAACTAATATGAACCACAGCTTTTACTTGACCCGATAAGTCCAAAATAGTGTCATTTGTTTGTAAAGGTTATTAACGAGATCATTTTACATTCTTTTGCTGTACCAAGTACATCTGGTTTTGAACCAGGTGCTTTTCCTGAGCTCTATAACTGCAAATGGCTGGTGGCTACCACATTAGACAACACAGCTTCTAGAGCCTTAGAACAGAGAGAATTGGTGCTCCTTTTTAAGATTATTTTTTATAAAGATTTTATTTAGGGATCCCTGGGTGGCGCAGCGGCTTGGCGCCTGCCTTTGGCCCAGGGCGCAATCCTGGAGAACCGGGATCGAATCCCACGTCGGGCTCCCGGTGCATGGAGCCTGCTTCTCCCTCTGCCTGTGTCTCTGCCTCTCTCTCTCTCTCTCTCTCTGACTATCATAAATTTAAAAAAAAAAGATTTTATTTATTTATGAGAGACACACAGAGAGAGAGGCAGAGGGAGGAGCAGGCTCCGTGCAGGGAGCCAGATGTGAACCTGGATCCCGGGACTCCCGAGATCACGCCCTGGGCGAAAGGCAGGTGCTCAACCACTGAGCCACCCAGCCGTCCCACCCCCGTCCCTTTGTAGTTCACTCTTCCACGTACTTCCAGCCTTTGGCAACCACTGATCAAGACTGAGAAGTTTTAAAGGCCAAGAATACCAAAGCATGCATTTCATTAGACATCAAAGCTGTGACCTCATCACCTGTTGTGTACTTCTGGAAAACTCAAGGGTACACACATGATTGAGTGACAGTGGGAAGGGCAAATGAAAAAGTCTTAGTGTTATTAGAAAAATAGTTTTGACCTCAATAACCCCCACAGAAGGTCCTCAAAATGGGGTCCTGCATCTACATTTTGAGAGCTTGCCTAGTGAATGCCCCGCCATCCTAACAGGTATGCTCAGCAGTCTACATACCATTTTAAATAATTGGTATTACAGAGTATAGTTGATCAATTTACAAATTTCTGACCATTTTATATGCCTTATCTCAATTTAATTCTTGCAATGACCACATGAGAAATAATAGTACAGACAGTCCCCTAACTTATAATTTGAGTTACGATATTTTGACTTAACAATGGTATGAAAACTACATGCATTCAGTTGAAATCTTACTCTGAATTTTGAGTGTTGATCTTTTTCCTGAGCTAACGATATGCAGTTTGATGCTCTCTCATGATGCTGGGCTACGGCAGCCAGCCACAGCTCCCTAGTCAGCCTGGCGACCAGGAGGGTAGACAATCGATAAAGCCATTTTACACCCATACAGCCATTCTGTTTCTCACATTCAGTAAAGTATTCAATAAATTACAGGAGCTAGTCAACACTTTATTATAAAATAGGCCTTTGTTAGATGATTTTGCCCAAGTGTAGGCTAATGTAGTGTTCTGAGTCCATCTAAGATAGGCAACGCTAAACTGTAATGGTCAGTAGGGTAGGTGTATTAATTTTTTTTTTAATTTATGATAGTCACAGAGAGAGAGAGAGGGAGAGACACAGGCAGAGGGAGAAGCAGGCTCCATGCACGGGAGCCCGACGTGGGATTCGATCCCGGATCTCCAGGATCGCGCCCTTGGCCAAAGGCAGGCGCCAAACCGCTGCGCCACCCAGGGATCCCAGGGTAGGTGTATTAAATGCATTTTTTACTTAGATACTTTCAACCTATGATGTGTTTATGGGAACATAGCCGCATAGAAGTCAAGGAAGGTCTGTACCCACTTTCCATGAAGTTAACAATGCCTGCAGCCTGGTCCTTGCTGTTCCTCTAACCAGTAGGGGTGTGGCTGTCATTGACTAATAGAGATTCTGAAAAATAAGGATATATTACTAATTTATGATGAAGCTACTGCCAGGAATGAGGCAGTGTCTGCTCTAACATCCATCAGGCAGATCAAGGATTTGCAGCATCCTGGGAGATCACAAGGTCATCTGTCAGAACCTTTGGCATCTCTCAGCTGCTGGGATTATTTTGCAGGTAAATGGTTTATTTGAGATCCTAAACTCCACAAGATAAAAACCTGAAGTGGTATTTTTCCAACTGCCCCAGACCCCCTCCTTACACACCGTGGAGTAGGTCCCTAAATAATGCAACTTTGTAACTACTTTCAGAGATCCATCTCATTACAATATTTAAATCACTGTCCTGTTTATTTTTTTTTTTAAATTTTTTTTAACTTTTTATTTATTTATGATAGTCACAGAGAGAGAGAGAGAGGCAGAGGGAGAAGCAGGCTCCATGCACCGGGAGCCCGACGTGGGACTCGATCCCGGGTTTCCAGGATCGTGCCCTGGGCCAAAGGCAGGCGCCAAACCGCTGTGCCACCCAGGGATCCCTGTCCTGTTTATTTTTTAATTTAAAACTCAAACGTGATTCAGAAGTCTTCTCCCAGACTCCAGAGGAGAAAGTGACCTGGAAAGAGAGAAGTCCAGCTCTGAACACCTTCCTCACTCTGTCTCCTAGCTCCCCTGTGTCTCAGAAGACAGACCTCAGAAATTGTAATCATACGGTCACACAAAGCCACAGAAAGATCTAGAATCCAATCGGGTTTCTTTTTAATATTTTAAAAAGTTATCATTGTGCTGTATTTTCCTACTAGATAGGTAGACTATGAAAAAGAGCTTTGAATTCCTTTCCAGTTTTTAGAACTTGATGCAGGGTTTGACATAGGCTTTTCCTTAGGGAATTCTCATTAGTAGAGACCTGGGTGCACCTCTTCTCAAAAGCCACAGCAACCCAATCCCTCTTAGTAACCCCTGAGGGCAGGATGGGCCCCAATCGCTGGCTCTGGCCAGCAACTCTGTCAACTTAGATTATGTAGCACTTGGTGTGTTCTTTCCTCAGCTTTGGGCCTACATGTCTGTTCTGGAAAGACAAGATCCTTTCACATGTAGGAAACACTTGCTTTTATTTCCAGACAGAGAAAATAAAAACAGAAGGACACAAGCATTAACATAATTTTGTTATTGGGTTTTTTTTTCTGATGTGGTTGTTTCATAGACATCCTCAAAAAAACAAAAACAAAAACAAAAAGCGCACAAAACAAAAAACAGTAACAACAAAATGGCTCAAAAATGGGTAAATTCTGCCTCAAACTGCACTCCAGGATTCTCCTACATTCTTGTGTTGTTACTGTTTTTCCCAAAAGTCCTCTGACCACACAGTTGGGCCTCATCATGTCAGCAACAGTTCCCAGGGCTGGTTCTCCCTTCTCCCAGATGAGTTTGTGAGTTGACCCCACGGCCAGAAGGGGATGAGGTGAAAGACAGGCATCATCTCAGATTTCTAAGTGTTTAGCAGAGGTGAAAAGGGTTTCTCTGTTTAAACTGAACCCTCTGTGGCATCAAATGTGTTACTGGTATTAAAACTACAAGTCTGAACTGGGCTTAAATAAAGAGATCCTTGGTTCTAGATCTAGACGAAAACTTCCATCTAGCTGACTGTGTGAACTTAGACAATTCGTATTTTCCCTGGGTCTGATGGTTTATTTTATGTGTTAGCTTGGCTGGGTCATGGTGCCCATATATTTGGTCAAACTTTATTCTGGATGTTTGGGTGAGATTAATATTTAAATCTGTGGACTTTGAGTAAAATAGATTGCCCTCCCTAATGTGCATCAGTCTCATCCAATCAGTTGAAGGTCTGAATAGAACAAAGAGACTGACCTCCCCCAAGTAAGCAAGAATTCTGCTAGCAGATGGCCTTTAGACTTGAACTTCAATATTGGCTCTTCTCTGGGTCTCTGCCTTGCTGGCCCACCCTGAATATTTTGGACTTGCTAACTCCCACAGTCATATGAGCCAATACCTTAAAAATGATCTCTCAGTCTCTGTCTCTCTTTCTCTGATTGAATATATATCAGATTGAAAGCATGAAAAATACAACGCGCAATGATGTCAACTACATGAGGAAGTAGGCATTCTTGCACATGACTATCTCCATCCAAGGCAATTTGAACTAGTTAGAGAAATTTTTAATCTGCATATTCTGTGACATAAGTATTTATCATACACATATAGGAATAAAGATAATTATTGCGGTCTTCCTTGCTAATACTACAAGATTAGAAGCAACCTAAATACTCAGCAAAATTATGGTAACCCTGCACAGCAGAGTACTGTGTACCATGTAAATAAATGAGCCAGCTCTTTGTGGATTGACAAGGAATATTCTAAGATGTTGACAGAAAACAGTAAGGTGCAGGACAATGAAATGGAATGCTGTCATTTGTGAGAGAGAATAAAAATTAAGTGTTTATAAATATAGAGAGAATCAAGAAACTGGGAACACAGCTTGCCTCTTGTAAGGGAACTGTGTTACAGAGGACAGGGAAAGACATCCTTTTGTCCTTTGTGAATTTTGTACCATGGGCATGCATTATTTATGCAAAATATAATTAAAAATTTAAAACCTGAAAAACAAGGGAAATAGTATCAAAATTGACATTCTTTTTAGTCAGAAATGTTCAT